TAACTTGACTTGGTAGGCCTTAACATAAATGACAAAATACATGGAATCCCATGAGAGGGGAATGGGAGGGTGCAGATGGGGGAGGGGGTATGAAGATGATTAAGAAGTTTTGTATGAAATACACAAAAATTCAATAAAAATGTACACAAAAAGATGTTAGTCTCAGCTAATGTCAGGAGCAGTATGAGTGCTGGGCAGCCTGAAGACAAGTGCACACGTCCCTCCTTCTACACTATGCCACACTGCCACTCATCGTGTGGCCATAGCATGGCATGACACCTAAAATCAAAGTCCCAAAGGATTTCTCAATTAGTTAAGTAAAATAAATTTATTCTTACTCCCCCTATTATAGTATTAAGAAAGTGCTTAAGCCACTTGATAAGTAAACCGTGGCTTGAGTCACCTCTTGATGGATAATCATGTTTTCTCATTTGCAGTTTAAGTGCTTGAAGACAAGTGACTTTAAAACTGTTCATGAGAGGACCCAATTATCTGATAAGCAATTCTAAAGACCATATACACAAACGTAGAAACAGACCTCTTTATAAATGATGTCTGACAAGGAAAGAGATATTTGTAGCATAGGAGCTCTGGAGAATGTAATTATTTATCCTTTCACAATTAATGAAAGAAATTGAAATTGAAGCTTTCATTTTAAATCCTTTTTATCTGGGTGAAACTTTAATTTTACATAATTAAATTGACTTCACAGTTCAGTGTGTTAAAATATGCAATTAAACGGCGTATCAAGGTTAAATGTTGTTAGCTCATTTAGAAACCATGCTGATGCTCTCCTAAACAAGAAGGAACACCTGCCCATCCACTGTTATCCCTGAGCCGAGGACCACACTGCCTGCAGGCCTGTGTCACCTGATTCAGAGCAGGGAGAAGAGGCTGTGTGCTCCTGTGTGTGTGCATGTTCGTGTTTAATGGGCCAACTCCTCTACAAAGTTAATTGAATTTAAGAAGTTTTCATTTCACTTTGTTTTTCAGTGACAATTTTATTTTTTTCATTAAGAATTATTCTGGCACTTCAATAGAGCTCCCTAGCTGATTATGCTTTATAGAAATCTCTTCTATGATAGTGCTTGCCTCTTCAAAGTTGTTACTTCCTGTAAGAACAGATACTGTACTTGATCCCAGTCAAAAGTTGGAGAAGCAATAACATGATTACTTACTGTTGGTTGAAAGTATGTGAAAATGCCTTTGTTTTAATTTTCCATTTCACAATTATGATCAGTTTCAGCTGAAATATCTTTCAAGTGATCTTTGTGCTCTTTGGAAAAGGAGAGCCTTGAGCAACCTTGGGGGAGGTGCTGAAATGAGCCAGGGGTAAGTTCACTGGATGTGTCTTCGGAGGCAGCTGCAGTCTGTAGAAGTGGGGCTTTACTTGCCTACCCCCTCCCTGTTTTCTCATTGAATAGCGTCTTGTGATGATTAATTTATGACTCAGTAGCATCTTATATTCCCTTTCATTTTAAGATCCTATGAGTGGAACGTGCTCAACAGTGAGAATTGAGTTCCCTTCTCTTCCCCGATACATTATGCAATTGATGTGGCAGCAATTGTGGTTTATCCCGTTAGAGTGATTGTTGAGAAGGATTCACAGATGTGATATCTTTGCTGCAATGATACATAGATAACCTGGATCTACATGATGGCTCTTCCAGACAAAGGGGAAAGGTGTGCTGCAGGGTTAACTACTATAGCCCTAAAGAAGATATGATCAGGACATGAGATTGACCACTAAGGACAAAGTTCTTGAAGCTGGGGGCATATGCTATCTCTTCAGGCTTGCTCCCTCTGTAGTGCTCCAGCTACTAGAGATATAGGTTGATATGACTGGTGAACCATAAGCTGAAAAACTGTAGAAGACATTACAATGTGTTTAGTGATATGATTGATATAAGAATGTATGCATGCTTTAGTTTACTCTTTTGAGCCATGGCTTCACTTAAAATACTGCCTTCTTTCTTGACATCAGAAGGCATCCTGGGGTAAATAAGATCTTCTAAAATTCTGAGCCAGGACTAGATTTATTTCTGACTTATTGTATTACCCTGGAACTCAAACAGGGCCTTGGCTCCCATGGGACATTTTGGTAGTTTTATTAGGAAAAATTAATAGTGAAGAAATGTTTTGCTAAGTAAACAGTTACGGTAATACATCCTTGAAAATTTGTAAGGCTATATGATCAGTTTCATAATTACAAATTATTCTGAAATTTAACTTAAACCCAATCTCCTTCCTTAGGATATTGATGCTTCATTTGGGTTATTGTATTACTTAAAATCCATTAAACTTCTATTTCGTGAAAATATGCTCATGCATGCAACATATAGAATCATTGATTTGTCTTTCATCAAATAATCTGAGTTCAGAAGGTTCAGTCTTGTACATAGATTGCTACTTTGTACAGTAATGACGAAGCCTCATCATTTCTCAGAAACACGTATGTTTGGTTAAATTTTATACAAAGTTTAGGAACCTTGACTGATTTTTACAGATTCTAGTTCATGAGGCCTGATGCGTAGAAGAGCTGTTTACATTTTCTTAGTCTCAGATTAAGGATTTTGGATGGAGAAATAAGAACGCAGTGCAATCGAAATGTTTCATTCACATGGCCTGATGTTCTCTGGTGCTTTGTTGGAGCTCTCTGGTCTGTGGCAGATGAGCTGCTATTAACTATAATCCTTCAGAACAAGATGTAGAAAATGATGGTGATGCAAGCCGAGTTGGTAAATACAGAGAACTCATACATACACAATCTCTAAGCCTTATGTTAGTATCTTTTAACTTTCTTTCCCATCAAAACTTCTGCCAAGGTATTTCTAATATGTCACCTGTCTTTAGTAATGACCTAGACAGAAGGGATCAGGAATCAATATATAGTTGAGAACATTAGCAGTAAAGAGCCATCTTGAAAATGCTAAGTGTTATTCTATATTCCTGACTGTTCATTTCTGAAGTTTGCATTCAAGAGAGAGGCCATTCATATGGGCATATGAATCAGAATCTTCCGTTGCCAAATAAAAATTTTCCTGCTTTTATTAGTTTTTCTTCCCCCACCCCCAAATTCTCTTGCATTTGTGGTCAAAGGAGATCTAGTAAGCCAAAATTCTCAATGTAACTTTGAACTTTACATGGAACAAATAGCATTCTGTCCTGTTATTAGATGCTGGTATAAATCAAGTATTTTCAGAACAAAGCGGTCTTTAATTTATTCTTTCAGGAAGGTAACTTGTCTAATTTGAGCTATCCTTACCATTATATTTGTAATTAGCAAGACAGAGAGTTGTTTACATCCAACAAGCCACAGAGATAGACAAGGGCTCCAAAAAGCATCAAACTAATCAGTGTCTGGAAAGTACTAAATCTGTGACATAAGTGAAACAACAACTGTTATCTTCACATTGACTTATTATTTTTTTTAATCTAGAAAGTCAACTCTGAGAGGATGGTAGCTTTGGCATCACTTCCTGTGATTTGTTACCTTTGTGTTTGGAATTTTTTTTGGGAGGGGTCTTTTTGAGACAAGGTCTCCCTGTAGCCCCAGCTGGCATGGAACTCACAAAGGCTGGCCTTGGACTCACAAAGATCTGCCAGCCTCTGCCTCCCAAGTGCTGGGATTAGAGGCATGTACCACCACACCTGGCTTCTAGAATATTTTTAACAGGATTAGGTAAACTAATATATAGTGTGTCTATGAGTCAGGGGGTAGAAGAGTTTCTGGGTGGCTGTTACTCTCCTGAGTGTTCTATTTTTCCTTCTCATGTTCATACTTCACAAGCATAAACAATAATGTCTACCTGTGAAGCTCATTATGTGACCACTGGCACATGACATCCGTGTACAAGGTTATGCATACTTATAGTGAGGGCCTATTAGAAATAGCAAAAGGCATTTGAAATTAACAGCTGCTTGAAATAATAAGCTAAATTTAATAATTCAAGGTTACATTTAGCTCCTAACTAGGAACAAAAAGGTAGAGGAAACCACTCAGATCAAGGTGCTGATATAAGTGCAAATTGTGAAGATTAAAGATAACATGAAGAGTCAGGCACAGTAGCACAAGTCTGCTCAGCACAGGAGGCTGAGGCAGGAGGATCAAAACCTTGAGGTCAGCCTGAGCTACAGAGAAGACCCTATCTTAAAAATCAACCAACCAAACAACAACAGAAAGAAAAACCAAACCTCATAAGATAAAGATAAATACATTGCATGAATCTAAGTCTGTAACAAATCCTTGACATTAAGATTCTACCCCAAAGAGTGGGTCTCAAAATATGGAGAGAAAATTATAAGATTCATCTTGAATAATGACTTGCTCTTAGTCACCTACTGTAATATACTTGGGCATAGTTCACCATTCAATGCCCCCTTCTCTCTCCCAATTTTCTTGTGTTTTAGTTGACAATTTCCTTTTGAAAATAAATCTAAGGACTTGTAATTGCCTAGATATCACATTGGAAAATCAGCTAATTAGGGAGCTACTATAATTTCCACAACTACTTAGGCCAGCCTCACTGCTCCCTCTCTCTCTAACAGGTTACCTTTGAATTCAAATCAAGTGATTATGATGGTTTTAGAGATTTCCCAGGCATTTATTTCACCCAGAAAAAATACTTGAATCCACCAAGGAAGTACTTTGCATCCAGCCAAACAGAACCTGCCCCACAACGCTGCCTCTTATCCATTAACTCCTGACAGCTAAGAGATTAGAGGAGGCAAGCAGAAAGTGGAAAAATACATTTAAACAATCCTAATGGACATAGAGAGACCTGGAAAGACAGGCACCTCAGAAAGATAAGTAAATGCAATACTGCACTTTAATCGTGCAAACTTCTTGATTCTGGGGAGAAGTCTTGGAGTCACGCGGCGTTAAAAGATGGAGCAAATTCAAGCAGCAGGGGAAAGAGCCCTTGCCAGGAAAGATTGGACGGCTTGTTTTCTTTTTTGTGCTCGAGGCATCCAGTAAGAGTTCCTTACAGTAATCTTACCTTTGTTTTCTGCCTTCAGTTCCTCTGCCATCAAGCTGTCCTGTCGGTTACCAAGCACAAATGCTAGAAAGGAGAGGATCAGGGCGTCCAGTATTCCAATAATAGCTAGGATGTATGCCCAGCGAACTGAGCATGCCCCAAGAGTGTATTTGTCTGTCTTCTCTCCGCACATCCGTTTTACTTCATCTGAATCCCAGCCATCAGGGAAAATCATACAGCCAAGCACAAGGCAGGCAGCTTAGAGAGAAAAAGAGAGGAAAACAAAGGGAAAAAGAAGTTAGCAGATTTCTACAGTTTGTCAAATAATTCCAAACTCTTCTTGATTTAGAAAGCAGCAAATTATCACTACACTACACTGTGTGTGTGTGTCTGTGTGCGTGTGTGTTTGTGTGTGTGTACTTGTAGTCTAGCATTCTACTCTTCAGCGAAAGGAGCTCCAGGTCTATATTTTGGAGTAAGCCCATGCACCCTGAGAGAGGCAATGGTAGACTGATCTATGAGAAAATATTAAGACATTGAAATTTTGTGTGCGTTTGGGGAAGGCTTCCATTGCAAATAGGCTATAAGGAATCATAACACTACAGAATGACAATTCAGCTCTGGCTTTGAAGAGCTGTGACAGCAGCCAGATAAGGGATTAGGATGACATGGAAAATACCAGAGTGTGTATTGACTTTGAATCACTGTGAAAAATAACAATGTGATCCCTACCCCCAATGCCCTGAAGCTTCTTGAAATTCTCATTGCCACGTGCAGTACACATCAATGCTGTCTAGTCTAGCCTTCATTCTAGTTTTTTTTTAAATTAAAGTCTGAAAAACACTGCAACACAATGAAAAACAGAAAACAGAAACAGAATGCTTATGGAAATTAAGAATTTCAGAATATATATATTTCTCAAATATCATTGCATAAGAATACTTTTTTCTTTTTGTGTGTATATGTGTTATGTTGTGTGTGTGGTGTCGGTACATGTTTGTATGTGTGCTGGTGTTTGTGGCCCATGTGTGTGTGCATGTGTGTGTGTGTGTGTGTGTGTATAGGCCAGAGGTCAATGTCAAATATCTTTTCTCATTTTCTCTCTAACCTTGTTTTTTGAGACAGGGTTTCTCACTGAACCTGAAACTCACCAATTCAACAAGGCTAACTGGCCAATGAGCTTCAGGAATCCACCTGTCCTGACCCTTCCCGTGCTGGGGATATAGATGGTAGTGCATTCTAGAGATCCAATCTCAGGTTCTCAGGTTTGTGCAACAGACTCTTTACTGACGATACCATCATCTCCTCATCCATTTTCTTCTTTCATTTTGAGACAATCTAGCTATGTAGGCAAGGTTGACTTTTGAACTCACGGTCCTCCTGCCTCAGCCTCTCAAATGCTGGTATTACAGGCATATACTACCATACCTGGCTGCAAATTCTTTTCAATTTAGAACACTGATGAATTATCAGAACCATTGGTTGTAGCCAGCTTTGAGTCTTTGTTACTTTCTTATGATCTCAGTTAATGGGAAAATGGATGGATGAATAAATGAATTATGATACCTAGGCCCTATACTCTAAAGTACAAGAATGGTGGTCTCAGGACCACAATTATCTCATGGCACAGATCTCTAGTTAAAGAGAATTCAAATTTAGTTGACATTCAACAGAGATAATTTTGTTATGACTAGACAACAGATTGCAAGTACATGGGAGGGTGCTTTAAATAAAGTGAAGTTGGTGATTTGAAAATATTTTCACATTGCTGCTCCATCTCTTAGCCTGGAGTACCCAACATGCTCTCTACAGCATAATCTAGTGCAAATTATCTGTGAGCTTAAAAAAATGTGATTTTGGATGGGGGATGGGCAAGAAGCCCCAGACCTAGCTGAGGATTGGTAATTTACTGCTGCTGGGAGAGAGAGAGAGAGAGAGAGAGAGAGAGAGAGAGAGAGAGACATTTTGTCAGTTTTCTTCAAGCATGTGACACCTGGGAGGTTGACCAGACTCCAAGGGATGGACCCATACCCAAGAGCATTTGGGTAACAAAAACTAGACTCAATAGGCCTTAAAAAAGAGAAAAATAATAATAGAAGACATGAAGACATGAAGTCGGGGGTGGCTAGTAGGGTAGGAGCGTAGATGGGGGAGGGGGTCTGAATATGATAAAAATACATTGTATGAAATTCTCAAAGAATCAATAAAGATATTTAAATAGTAGTTTCCATGAACAGAATTCATTTTGTTTAGGACAATGCACAAGATCTTTGAGTCTAAACTATAATCTGTTAAAGAAAAACTCACTTCTAAATTACTTGGAATATTTAAAAATATTCTAAATACATTTTATCTGTAAGAAAATTTTCTTACAGAGTAAAGGAAATGTCTTTTTTCCCTTCAAATGGGAGTTAGTTGAAGAACAACTTATATTGCAGTTTAACTAAACTTAGTAGAAATCACCATGACCCAAGCCCAGGCAAGCTCCTGGTGTTGTAGGACAATTCACTGGGGAATGATGACATCAACATAGACATTTTCCCTCAAGCTCTTTCTATCATAAGAGGAGATTTGACTATCTTTTTCAAAATTTGGTGTTTTTTTTGAATTTTTGTGTATTTCATATAGAGTATCTCAAACAATTTTAATTATTTTTTACCCCTGTCCCCACCAGCACCTTCCCATGCCCCCACCCCAGGAACCCATATACTCCATCATCCATGTTAAGGCTCACTGCGTTAAGTCAGTGTCCCCAGATGTTACAAAGTGTAGAGATTAAGAGTCTGTAGAATGCTGGTACTTGGACAAGACTCCTGTATTGGCTATCTTTTAGGTTTCCATTCTATAAACTCTGAGTTATAAATTGGGATTAAAAAAAAGCAGTAGAATTGACACTCCAAAACCAAAACCACCAAAGACCTGAAATAGCAATCCATTATTCTGTTTTCAAAATATGACTTCCTAAATTAAAGTTTGAAGAGAAAAATACCCAACATAGATGAAATAATATGCAACTGTTCTTTATGCAATGGCTATTTTGCTAAAAGGCGTGAAAGCAGAAGTTTTGAGACGCAATTCTTATTTTCAATAATCTAAAGGAGTTTGGTGTTTATAGAAATTGTGAAAATGGAATGGGAAAGTTAGGATTTGGGACTCCTGGAGAAAAATGTTTAGGCTCACCTAACAGGGACATCCTAATAACCTTCAGGATAATGGGAAATATGATATATGCCTAGGTTTCCCACACAATTTTAAAAATTTTGAAAAATTATTATTTTTTATTTTATGTGTGTGAGTGTACTGCCTGCATGTGTGTAAGTGCACCCATGTCTTGCAACACCCGAGGAAGTCAGAAGAGGGAATTGGATTCCCTGGAATTGGAGTTATGGATGGTTGTTAGCCTCCATGTGCATGCTGGGAATTGAACCCAAATCTTCTGCAAGAGCAGTCAGTTCTCTTAATTGCTGAGCCATCTCTTCAGCCACCGCCCCCGCTCCTTGTCAACATTTTAATTTTTCTCTTTTTTCTTTCTCTCAACATTTTAATTTTTCTCTCTTTCTCTCTCTCTTTATCTGTTCTTTCTTTCTCTTTCTTTCTTTCTTTCTTTCTTTCTCTCTCCCTCCCTCCCTTCCTCTCTTTCTCTCTCTTTCTCTCTCTCTTTCTTTCTTCCTCTCTTCTTTCTTTCTTTCTTTCTTTCTTTCTTTCTTTCTTTCTTTCTTTCTTTCTTTCTTTCTTTCTTTTGACAGAGTCTCCCTGACAACTGGCCTGGAACTCACTAAACCAGGCTGGTCTTGATTCCACAGAGATCTGCCTGCCTCTGCCTCTTGAGTGCTGGGATTAAAGGCATGCATCATCACACCTGGCTCTGACAACATTTTCTTAGCATGAACAATTTGATCCTTTTTCGCTTTTCTGTTTTGAAAATCTAAATGGTTGTATAGTAAGATACCCCCCCCCGTAAATTGCATTTAAATGCTTTTAAAATTTTACATGGCTCTTGTATAACAAAAGCTTTCCCTCTCAGCAATATATTGTCAAAGCATACATTATTTCCTTCTCCTATCCAAACTCCTTCTACTTAACTGTTTTTGAAAAGGAAAGTTCCCTAAATTTTAGTATATTTAATATGCGATTAAAATAGATTAGGGTCTATTGGCTTCTTTTAATTAATGCTTGAGTGCTGTGATACTCCCTATTTTCTGGCATTCTAATAACCAGAATACACTCTTGAAAGATCCTTGGCTCTCTTGGTCAGTGATAGAACAAATAATATTCCTCCTGGCTTTATATTAACTATTTATAAAGCAATCAACCCTAAGATATAGTTTGATTACTACAGTAAATACTCGAGTATATAAGGGACCAGAATATTTTATTAATTCACACATGTTATTTCTTGACCACAAGAGATAGTGGAGAATTAATTCCAACTGGACTATTATCTAAAAAATGGCTTTCTTGTTAGAATGTCACCAAGGAAATGGTTAACTTCCTTGCAGCAATAAGTTTACTGGAAGTATATCAGAGAACATCTTGAATACTAAGAAGTATGAGCTCAGCAGTTGGGAGTGAGCATACAATAATGGAAAGAAACCCATGGCCCTATGATATGCCACTGTAATATCTTCTAATCTAGAAAATATAACAAAGGTGTCCTTGTGTGTTATAGTTGATTTCCATTTTAAGTATGTTTCAAGTGGTTAGGAAATATTCAAGTTCTACAAGGAGCTCTATATTCAGGCTACTGATCCCACAATGGGTTCTTCTGACATAGTACACAAATGGCTAATGCTTCTCCAGAGCCACTAATTGCACTGGCATTTTTCTTGTTAAAGAGCTGAATGTAATCTCTGTGGAAAGAACATCCTTAGAAAAATCCACAAGCCTTTGTAATAGGCTCTTTCTTGAAAGGAAAGTGAAGGAAGACAGAAAAAAAATAGAGGGGTTATGACTGGAGTTACTTAGGCTTGCTTATGAGGCTGGTCCAACTGTCCCACCACAGGGCCTTGAATACTGCAAACCTGAGAACAGCTTATTTTTGAACAGGAAGAGAAAGCCTAAATTCACTCTTAAAAAAACCCTATGCACTGCTGCACAGAAGCATGATAAATTGTCTTGTGTTGCCAAAGCACTTGAAGGGAACGTGGCGAAAGGGGGACCTGCATTCACTTAACTCTATCAATTATTTGGGCAAACAGTAGCTGGAGAAATTGATGCCAGCAGAGGTTGCCAGGCCTACAAAGGGTGAACTTTCACAC